CTTGATCGGGACTGGCACGGGGATGGGTGGGGATGTCCGCGTTGTTCCGCAGTGTTTGCAGAAAAAATGCTGGGACCTGGGACTCCTGGATTTCATTCCAGTCTCTGGACAAGTGTCTTTGTAGGGGCACAGACTCTTCTGCCCATTTTTAGTCAGAATGCTTATGGTTTGTTCTTATTTGGCTGGATTTTCATGGCAACATCTCTCACACAAAAGCCACTCCTATTCCAAAGTTCAAGTCCTTACTTCAAAGCGTGGAACTGGTACAGCTTTTCAAAGGAAGGCTTCTCAGAGTTTAAGATTAGTAAAACAATATATTTTTCCCAGCAGAAGAGTTTCAGCTGAAATTTTAAAAACAAATAAATGCATAAATCACAATTTAGCCTGAGACAGACGCCCAGCATGGACAATTTCAGCCAGAACGTTTAAAGTTTGGCAAAGCTGTAAGAGACTGAAAAGCGTCTCATCATGTGAAGTGTGTGGCATACTTCATACGAGGCGATACTATCAGCTGTAAGTAATCCAAGCTGCACATATAATTCATAGACGTAGATGTTAGGGAAGGAAAAAAACAATTTTAATAGATCAATTAGGGCTATGTCCCAGCCTAAATCCAACTAATGAACAAAGAACCCACAAAATCTAGTATGTACTTCAGCGAATGTCTTAACACTGAAGCTCCCCAAAACACAAGTGAATCATTTAGCTACTGGTAAATATATTTAACTCTGTGTAGCTGAATTTCCTTGAGACAGACTGTTCAGTGGCTCTCGAATACAGCAACAATCTGTTTTCTTGCATCCAATCACTATGCATTGAGTGGATGTGCTAGAAATTTCCTTATCAGACACATGCGAGAAGCCCAGGGGATTGTTTTTTTGGTAGTGACCTTATAGCATAAAATGACAAAGCAAATTGCAGTATTTGTAAGTTATAAAATTATCCTATCACCCTTTAAAGTACATGTCAGCTTGCTCTACCCACAAGGAGTTAATCTATCCACGGTACATTATGATCTTTAATAATTGGAAGCGATTGGCCAAAGTGCTGTAAACCTGGCAGAAATTTGTTGCCTTATTTTCTGCAAACCACAGGCACAGCTTATTAATTGAGAAATGAACATTAACTGGCATTAGCTAGCGTGTGTAAACTGAAAAAGAGAAATGGCCACGGTATGCGTTCAGCTGGAAACGGTAGAGCTGCAAAGCTGCAACAGGTAAAATTGGTTTTTAAGCACGAATGCAAAACCATTTTAGTCGGCTGCTGGCAAATGCCCAAGTCTAGGGTTTTTAATGAGGCTTCTGCATCAAAATAAGTGAAACCACATGGAATTTTAATTGTTCTTATTCTAAATATGAAACACACTGGAGCAGTATTCTTGAATCTAGGATGTTAGCATATATATTGGCAGATTAACATGACCGCTTTTCTGTTCTAAACATATAGCTCTCAGAAAACTTGAGTGCCAGGTTACGTTAGGGAGTAATCAGCTTGGAAGATTTAAAAACAATTTAACCTGGACCTTTTCAGATGTAAGGTTTGGACTTTTTTAAAAATATATATTTTTTTGGTGTATTGTCAAGCATGGTGAGCTGATCAGACTATGTAGGAAAAGAGGATCACTTGCTGTGCTTGTTGCCTTGTTTGTCTTTCTGACGGCACAAAATAAAGTCTCTTCTCGTTACAGAAGGGTGGTTTCGCAATCTTGCGGCCACGATGTAGGGCGGAGGATCTGTGCTTCACCCATTTAATACAAGCTATCACGAGAGTGGGAATTCACAGATGCAAATTGTTTTCTTGCTCTGACAGAGGAAAAATTAACATAAATCTTTAATCCTGCTGGAGAGAAGAATAAATAAATTATTTACTTGCACTGTCATGTTTATATATTGCTGATCGACATCGCTATTTGTGCACAACTAGATATACAAAGATGGGTGCCATACCCTAAAGAGCTATTTATCTTCCCAGTCCAGCAAAGAGCTAAACATATAGAAATGAATATGCACCTTGTGTTTCCAAGTTAGAACCAAAATCAAACCTTAACACGAGGAGATAGCACAGAGAGAGGAGGAAAGTGAAAATGCATCTGTGAGATCACATAGCGGTGAAGACGGCAAGAAGCTGAGCGTTAGAGGTGACTTTTTAAAAAGTTTCTAAACTCATTTCAAAAAGAGACTTTAGGACAGGCATCACAGAAAACTTTTTCAGATCTCCAAAAGTGTCTTTACACAATGGAGATGCAGAAGGCTGGGAGCAAATCGCAGCCTAGTGCTGGGAGTTACGGAGACAGAAAAGGCATCTGGAGGGTTGGAGGAGTGAGTGTACAGGAGCCGCACGGACACAGCCATGAGTGAGATAAGAAAGGGTTATGACTATTTGGCCTTTCAGTAAATAGGATTGTGCTTTACAAGCAATAGTAAAAACAAACAAGTTTGGATTTACTAGGGTACGTGAGGAGGTCTGTAGCCCCACATAAGAAATGCCGACGTGCGGAGTGCACATTCCCTGTCATTCGACACATACATGATCTCTTGGCAGCACCCATTTAGATAATATTTGAATTTAGCCCTGAAAGGAAGATTGCCTTTTAATGTGTAAAACTCTGTGGATAGTTTGTTATTAAAAAAAAAAAAAAAAAACAACAAAAAAACCTATTGGCTGCAAAGAAACCAAAAATGCCGATGATGTTCTACAGCCTTACACTCATATCAATTCTACCTTTGATTATAAAAGTCTTGTTTAGCTTCTATCAGGGTAAACTAAGAGCAACTCTGTTCATGTTGGGAGAGTTGAAATAACAATAAAAAAAAAAAAAGTATAAGCGGTAGCAGATTGAAACTCAGTATTTTGAGCAGCTGGGGAAATTATGTTCTAACCTTATATTTCCAGATACGTATCAGACCTGTTCACAATATAAAGGATAGTGTTCCAAAATTACAGCTTTGAATCTGGGTGGTATCGCCTCTGGCTATTGTTTGCAGTTGGGAACGAAAGAAGTTGCATCAAGTAGTAGAGTGTTTGCTGTAAAGGTACAAGTTATATTACATTCCACAGGGCTGTGGTTGGAGGGGTTGATGATGGAGACAGACCCATTCACCCGTAGGTCACTGATTCAGTTCCAGATAAAGATAATAGTAATCACATTGTCATCAGAGTTAAAAATGGGCTTTAACTGCCCGTTTAAAGCTCTGTAGTAATGTCTTTTGAGACGGCAGATTATAATCCCCAGGTTTCAGGCTGCGTGATTTGGACGCTTGGCTGGCTGTGGACCAGGTCCTCCAGCCTGAACCCACGCTGTACCTGAGCTCTGTCCCCCTGCTGCTTTGAGATATCGTTGAAGGCGTGGGTTAAACGACCTGGTAGAACAGGAAAGAATAGTGACCTAAATAAAAAAAATATGCCACACAAGGTGACAGGGTCTGTTGAGTCTGTGGCTTATGGTAGCAACCACCGTTGGGGGTGCTATAGGGGGCCAGGAGCAGAAGGGCTGGAGAGACCTTACTTCTACACAGCAGTGTCGGCAGGTCAAATCCAAAGCCTACCTACAAAGAAAAGCACTGCTGCATCTTGCATTGAGGATACACAGGGTGTTTCAGTGTTTAGCATGCCAGTTTGGCATCTAGAAGATGCCGTATTTTCTTTTTCAGTAAAGCAGATTCAGTGGATTGGCAGAGAAGGGTGAACCCTTGGATCTAGAGGACTGTAAAGCTGTAGAAGTGTCGGCTGGGGAGCGCAGGGAGACCCCATTTGATTTCATGATTTTTCCCTTTTATTTATGCCCCTCTTTTTCCAGCTCTCTCTCTATAAAAATGCATATGTGTATCTACAACATACTGGCCTCTTGCATTGTATTTCTGGGTTAGACTTTTTCTCTTTCCTCCTGTCCCTCTTCCCACACCCTTTTCATTTTCCCCTTTTCTGGCTCTCAACGTGAGCTTTCACCATCTTTTCCTTCTGCTCCTGTCCGTCCCCACAGTCTCCTGAGCAGATCACCAAGCTACTAAGGTTTGCTTTCCACTTCTCCGAAACTTTGGGTGTTTGATGTGGGATTAGAAATTAGGCAAAATGAGTATACCCATCCCTGTTTTGCGTTAGACTCCAATTCACAGTGTTACCATCCAGACGTTCACAGTAGCCATAAACTGTGTGGTCTTTTTCTCTACCAGATGGCACAGACTACATAGGAAATCAACTTTTTTTTTTTTTTTTTTTTTTCCAATGGCAAAAGGAGTGTTGGGCTTGTAATTTTCCATCAACTGCACTGAAAAATAAAATTTGCATCTTTGCTATCGGCTCAGTGGCCTTGCCCATCCTTTGGATCCAGCGAATATTTTTCAGCCGTAGGAAGTAGCTGAGCAGATTCACGCCTAAATAAATTGATTTAAGGCAAGAAGTGGGGCTTAGTCACCCCCGGTGCAACTCCCCTGGTGTCAGTGGTGCAACTAACTTGGTGTTGCCAACTCTTGTAGTTTTATTACAAGTTGCACAGTAATTTCTGCTTTTCGTGAAACCCCAGCTCCCGACGGCCTGCGCTGAGGTGGGAATCTCAGCTTTCGTGTGCAACCCGACCTGAGTTTCTCAAGAGGCTATAGCAAAAACCCAGAGACACGCAACCTTCAAAGCTCAGAACCCAGAAGGCAAATCAACTCCAAATCCACTTTTCTCTTTTTGGCTCGTTTTTAATCTCTTGATTTTTGAGGTGTTTACTTTTATTTTTTTTTCCGGCCTGACTCATGACCTTTCAATGCTTTGGGTTGGCAATGCTGCTCCCTCCATTGGCATCAGTGGAGTTGGACCAGGGATGAGTTTGGCCCAGCGCTTTTAGAAGACAGGTGTATGACTCTGTTCCTTGCAATGTATTATTTGATATGATCTGCTGTTCTCTTGGGGGCCAAAAGAAGTGGGTTTTCTTAGAAAAATAAAATTCTATCATCACGTGATACAAAAAATGGTATTTACAGAATTGTTTTCCCCCATCTTTTGTTATAATTTTTTAGGTGCTTCAGAGCTGGGCCCATTTTCAGATCCCAGGCAGTTCACAAGCATTTCATCCCTCACTGAGAGCCGCTTCTCCAACCCACGAATGCACTATCCAGCCACCTTTACCTATACACCGCCAGTCACCTCAGGCATGTCACTGGGTATGTCCGCAACCACTCACTACCACACCTACCTACCACCACCCTACCCCGGCTCTTCCCAAAACCAAAGTGGACCTTTCCAGACCAGCAGCACTCCATATCTCTACTATGGCACTTCGTCAGGATCATACCAGTTCCCCATGGTGCCGGGAGGGGACCGCTCCCCCTCCAGGATGCTTCCTCCGTGCACCACCACGTCCAACGGCAGCACGCTGTTAAACCCTAACTTGCCCAACCAGAGTGACGGGGTGGAGGCGGATGGCAGCCACAGCAGCTCCCCAACCGTCTTGAATTCTAGTGGCAGAATGGATGAGTCCGTTTGGAGGCCGTACTGAGATTTCTTCCGTAGCCGGCCTGACCTCCGCGAGAAAAAAAAAAAAAAAACCAAACCAAACAAATGGTCGACTAACTACGAAGTGCCTGGTTTTTGTGTTGTTTTTTTTTTTTTTTTAAAAAAAAGAAAAAAAAAAGATTTTACCAATATGTGCAACTGTGTAGATGGGATGATAATGGCCATAAATAACACAAGTTACCAACACACCACAGCCCATGTTTCAGATTATGTGGATCAAAGCACATATTTTTATTTTTTGTTTTCTTGGAACCATTTTACCTTGGTTTATATTTAAAATGTACTTTTTACACACACACACACACAAAAAATCACCCCCTCCTCTTTTTTTTTTTTTTTCTGGTCTAGAGTGTTATAATAACTAGCAAGTACTTTTGCCAATAAGGAGAGAACGGACTCCCCGGCTATCAGGAGAAACATGGTGATGCAAGGCAAAGGCTGCATTCCCTTTTATTTTTTAATTAAAAAAACCCCACCTAACCGTGAACTCCAGATACAGTTGCAATCATACAACATATGGGACCCTCTTCACACCCGTAGTGCAATTCAACTGGCTTGTATTGGTGCACATAGAAAGGAAAGCAAAGATCGAGTTGCTTCCATTTTGCCATGATACATTCAGATGAAAATAGCTGTCCCAAAAAACTCTGTCCGAGCCTTGCTGCAGATAACGGTTGGAACTTCTCTGTATTCATTGCTTTTTTTGGTTTGTTTTTGGGTACTTAAGGAGAACAAGTCTTCAAGTTAGGCTAGACAACCCTGGGGTTTCCTTTTTGCTTTTGTATCCGTTCATTTTGCCTTCGGTTAGCCAAAAAAACCAAAAATAACAACCAAAACCTTTAAAAACAAAAAACAAAATGTTATTACTTATGCAAAATATGAGAATGGCAATATATATTACTAGAGCCAAAATGGTATACATAGTATTTGTGTTCGGCTATGTTCTTTTTCTTTTTTTTTTTTTAAATTATGAATGTGTAAAATTTGAGGTTGTTTGCTAACATGAATCATCATAGAACTTTAAAAGAATATTTATAATTATTTAATGGCATTTGGACCCTTTAAACGTTTCTTAATGTAATGATATATTGACTTCGGTCTCTAAAAGTGTTTTTTTTTTGTTTTGTTTTGTTTTGGTTTTTTTACTTATTACATTTCTGCAATGGTGTAAACCTCAAACCTTTACCCAGCTCTGAAAAGCAGTTCCAGTGTGAACCAGTTTACAATGTGACTTAAAAAACGACAAACCCAACCCAAATGCATCCACATCAAATGATTTTGGATGTAGGATCTTTTTATATAACTTATGAAGGAAATATTGTGTTTAAAATATTTTTATTAGCTGTCTGGTTGCCTTCAACACAGTCTTGCCTTTTAATCAGTAATTGTGGAGACACTGGAAAAATGGTAGGAAGGATGAAATATTTTCCACCCTTCCCCTAATTTCTTCTTCTCCCAGGATTTTTCTCAGAACTTCAAAATTTGAAAATATTCATATTTAAAATGTTCTGTTTTGACAGGATGATTTGAATTTCTACAGGGTGGTTGGTTTTTTTCCCCAAAGAAAAACCAAAACCGTTTCAAAGCCCGTGTTTTACAAATACCAAATTGTTCAATATCTCAGAAATGGGAGTAAGGGAGAATTGGTGAAACTTTTTCCCCTCCCCTTGTGATTATCAGCCCACTCGGTGGAATAAAAAGGTTCAAAACTTGAGACAGAAACTGCCTGGTAGCGCATCACCGCCCGTTAGCATTAAATGCTAGAGCCGCAAAGATGCTGTGTTGACTTTGAAGCCCGTGTGGCTGTTGCCGTGTTAGAGAGACAAGCCCAAGGGCAGCGATACTCACCTCTGCAAACGCTGAAGATAAAAAGTCACCTCAAAAGCCACCCCCGGGGCTCCCAGGTGTAATACAGGGAGAGCAAATTGCACCCAAACCCCTTAACCAAGCCACCTGCCGCCAAGCTCTCCACCATAGGAGGCCAAATTTTGCCCACCCCGGGGCTGCTACGGCAAACGGGGAGGCGACACGGCATCGGCTGGATGTGGTGGGAGCTGAACAAGCCCTCCCCACGCGACCCTCAAGCAGGTGATGTTAAGCCCGGTTTAGTGGGATGTTCGGCACGTGCTGATGGGGTTTGGCGGCGTTCCCTCCTCCCCCTGCCTTAGCCATCGCTGTCTGCAGCCTCCTTGGGGGGCTGCTGGCCACCACGCCGCTCCTTGGCGGTGCTTTGGCTACCTCCAAAGTATCACGGTAACTCAACAGCGGGCATAGCCATACAGAGCCGGACAACACCCTCCACCGCTCGTTAATAGCGAAGCTGTTAAACGAGTTGACATTAGCACGGTACATCCCTCCAATTTGCGTGATGACGCACTCTTAAAAAAAAAAAAAATTTAAATAAAGTCTTTGCCTTCTAAAGGTTGTATACCAAGTATGCTTAAAGTATAAGTAAGACACTTTTTTTTTTCTCTTCTAATACTTAGTTTTCCTTCAAAGATGGAAGCTGTAATTGATTCTATTTATTGTTGGTTTGTGGTAGCTTGAAGCATACCACTGTCCATTTATTTGTAACTGTAAAATACGTTTGTTAGTCTCAGCAGCACTTAAAAAGCCAGTGTCTGGTTACACATTTCAGTTTTGTTTTTTGTTTAGTAAGCAAGAGAAAAAGATGTACTGCCAGTGCAAGCTGTTTCCTATTTAATAAAAGGTACTATATTTGTACATTATTTGTTATTGCTGAGAAGGGCTTTTTAAGGTTTACTGTATGCATATTAAGTAATTTTTAGGGTGCTTTTCTGTTGAAATGTTGTTAAGAGTGGCTGCAGGCAGCAACCCAGACTTTTTTTTTTTTTTTTTGTTTAAGACTTTGTTGTAAAATTCAAGCACTTGGTTTTTGTTTCTGGATAAATCCAGCACAGACCAGACTGTTGTTTTGCTCAGTACCGACAGGACTCTCTTTGTGTCCCCGCGGTTTTTCAACTGGACCATTAGGGACAGACGTTGAAAACGTGTTCTCCTCTTGGTCGAGGCGCGCGTGCCCGGTCCGTGCCCTCGGCTTCCCTGGCCGTGCGGGCAGGCGTCTGGCTCTGCCTGCTTGAGATAGAAAGGAATGGATTTTCTAAGGACCTACAGATGGAGGAGCACCAGCCCCTTGACTTTCGGTAGACCCCCGTGCTCCTGAACCCTCCTGGTGCCTTTGGAAAATCTCTCCCGGTACATCAGGCTGGTCCCGGAGACAGTTGTATGGGCTGAGGCAGAGATGCTCATCAAAGCTTTCGGAAAACGCTTTTGAGTTCACTTGGAAATGCTTTTGAATCAGGATGTCAGACCAAAAAAATAACAAACCAAACCCAACTGGTACTATGTAGTTAATCATATCAGATTGTGTGATGTTTTGCGAGGCGCTTAGCATCAACAGAAAGGAGTTTTCTCAAAGGTATGACAGCCCTTCCCTTCGGTGAGCGGCAATCTTTGGCACCAGTCATAGACTTAAAGATTAAAAAATGGCCTTTTTTAGCTTTCCAGCTCTCTTATCCTACCAAAGATTTACTTCCAGCACAACAGGCACGATGTCCCTTTTGCCAAGCGGAGGATTAAATCCTCCTCTCCCTCCTCCTAAGAGTAACCAGATCGGGGGCAGCGGGTCAGGATGGATGAGTAAAGCAAATTATTTAACCCACAGCATCACTTGTGTGGCGTTCATCGTTTCTTTTAAAATACCAGTTGCTGTGTCTTTCTTAGCATTGAACTTTTTTTGCCAGCAGTCCCCCGAGCAAAGATTTACCAGTTTCCACAGGTACCATCTCGAGCGGGGAATATTTTGCACTTTCACACTTAGCAAAGCTCAGCCCCGCGCCGGGCTGCACGCGCCCAACAAGCCATGAGCAAAAGCAATAATTAAAACCTGGATCAGCCATGAGCTCAAAGAAGCCCCATTCTCTGAATTCCTGAATTTCTTGTTGTTTTTAAATAGAATGCATTTCATTTTAACATTTTCTGAGAACTTTTTTAGATGTTTGTTTACTTCCATGTTTACAGATAACTCTTTGCTTTTTTTTTTTTTTTTAATGCAGTACTTTTAAGTATATCAGCCAAAACCATACTTTTACAGTAACTTTTGTTTTAGGTAATATGAGTGACATTCCAATTTTTTTTTTGTTGTTAAATATGCTTTACCAGTCTTGAATTTCCGCTGGAACAAAATATTTGTAGCATTTTGTGTAAATACAAGCTTTAATTTTTTATTTTTTCAAATGCTGTCACCCGAGGTTTGCTTTTCATGCACATATTGTACAAACACACTCTGCTTTATGCCACAGATGATGATTGTGGATCAGTTTACTTCAACTTCAAAGGGACTATTTGTATTGTATGTTGCAACTGTAAATTGAATTGTTTGGCATTTTCTCATGATTGTAATATTAATTTGAAGTTTGAATTTCATTTTCAATAAAATGGCTTTTTTTTTTGTTAATGTTCTTCTATGCTTCTTTTTCTTCCGCTCTCTCCTCTTAGCACCAGGCAGGGTAAAGTAAGCACAGGGTAGGACACAGTACTCACCCTTCTGTGGTGGCCCCATCAATTTCTGCAGCGTTTAAGTTTTCAATTAAATATAAAAAGCAAGTTTCCAGGCCAATGGGTGGTAAAGGACACCTTCTAAATCTGATCTCAAGTGTTGCTTCTTTTCCTGAGTCTACAAACTGTCAAACCCTGTTTTTTTCTTAGAAGAGTGCAAAGTGCTGCCTTCATCTTGCTAGCTCGTTAACTCTGAAACCTAACAACTGACATCAGCCGGGACATTCTGGTGCTACAGTGCTGTGGGCAGAGCTTGGAGTATAGGAAAAGCTGGGAGAGCTTTCCAAACCAGGCGGGGGGAGGGATTGGGGTTTATGGTGCTTTTCCAGGGTGGGAGTTGCACTATGCCCACGTCTTCCAGGTCAGACCTGGGGAATGCCGTTACAGATAATCGGGTGGTTTGCA